TTTTTTTTTTTTTTTTTTTTTTTCTGGTCTCTCCACGCGCCCCCTCCCCCTAAAACTATTACACTCGAGTTTCTCTTCGGTGTATCCACTCCCATTGTAACACTAACTTACGCTGGCTGCTTCTTATTGGACCACGTGGGGTCATTTTCCTTCATATTTGGGCCCAAATTAAATTGGGCTTTCACCCAATTTGGCTAGCCCAAGTGTGCAAGCCCGGAGATAATGGGCCGACTCCAAAACTACTGCCCCTTAAAAAGGTATTGCCTTCCAATTACTGACTCATTTATATTATTTTATTGTCTTTTAATTTCGAATAATATTTTCTTTTTTTCATATGAATTATAATTTATTAAAATATGGTATATATATATATAACCTTAATAAAAGAAGAAGAAGAAGAAGAATTGAAATTCAAATGGAGGGCATAATTGTCAAACTAACACGGGAAGAAGGGTATAATTGGAAAAAATTGTTCGATTCAAAGGACAGCAGGCAGCTGCGGCAGTTAGTGTTCTAAAAAGCCGAACCAAATAATGGGCCCTATGGCCCACTTGGGCCCATCAGTTTGACTTGCAAGGGCCCATCCAAGAGGGCATTTTTATTTTTAATATACATAAGGCTGCGTTTGGTTGCGCAGTTGAACGGTATACGGACAAAATTAATGGGTGAGGGTCCTAATCCCAAACAAACCCGACAGTTGAACTAAAACGCTTCTATATTTATTTAATTATTTATTTAAATTGATTCTCTGTTTTTGTTTTTGTTGTATAGTTGTTAATTTATTTTCAATAATTTTTTGAAATTGTGTATGGTACATAGCCATCAGTGGCAGTGGTTGGCAATTGGGTCTTTTCACCTAATGCTTTTCTATTATTATTTATGCCATTTAATTTTACACCTAAATTTTTATTTCTAAATTCTAAATATAAAAACCAAAATTTGTTTTTTTTTTTTAAATAAAGTAAGAAAATAGAGCTTGAGCCCGTTTTAAAAAATTCAATTAAAAAAATATTTAAAATGTAGTGGTAGTGGATAAAGGTGAAGGGAGAGGGTGCGTTGTAGTTTATAAGTTCTTTGGTATACCCAGAGCTGAAAAGATTGAAAGACAGCGCAAACCCCATAATTTCTAAAGCAAAAGCAAAAGAACAGAGAGGAAAAGGAACGAAACCCAGAAAGAAAGGAAGAAGAAGAAGAAAAGGGTTTTGTAGGTAAGGGAATGCAAATTGAATAGAGTGAGGAACAGAGGAAGAGCAGCCATAAATGGTGCAGAACAGCACAGGAAGCTTGAGCTTCAGCAGCCATTTGTGTAAGGAAGATGAAGAGATTTCGAGGTCGGCTCTGTCCACTTTCAGAGCCAAAGAAGAGGAGATCGAGCGGAAGAAGATGGAGGTCAGAGAAAAGGTTCAAGCCCAGTTAGGCCGTGTTGAAGAAGAAACCAAACGTCTCGCTTGCATCCGTCAGGTAAAATTTCGGGGTTTTTCCTCCAAAATTTTCATGGGTTCTTCTTAGATTTTGGTTTATGAGACACCCTTTTAACTTTTGTGCTGTGTTTTACATGAATTTGGTGGGTTGGGTTTGGGGGGGAAATGGGACATAAAATTATAGAACATCTCTTGAAACTGAGTATAATTTTGGGTAAATCTTCGTCCAAAATCTCTGTGGACAAGGGATTTTTAACCCATTTTGCCTGATTTAGTTCTATTATCTACGGCGTTTGGGATTAAATTAATATGTTGTGAAGGGATTAGAAGCGGCTCAAATCATTGTAAATGTCCATGATTTCCAACGGTAGGTGCTAACCACATAATCAACAATGCTTTGGTGTCGGTGGGTCGTATGAGTCATTCCATTCTAAGATTAGCTTAACTGGACAAGTAATTATAGAACAAGAGTATGCATGTGTAACAGATCAAACCCACCACGAGTAGATATTGTCCCTTTGGGCTTTCCCTTCCAAGCTTCCCTCAAGGTTTTAAAATGCGTCTACTATAGAGAGGGTCTAGCCTTACTCCCACCCGTGCCGTGCCTTGCACCGTCCGATAGCTAGCTCTAAAACCAATTGTAACAGTCCAAGCCCACTGCTACATTGGGTTTTCCGTTCTTGACTTTCCCTCAAATTTTTAAAACACATCTATTAGGGAGAGTTCACACATGTCGCCGTAGGTAAGAAACAAAAATATGGCAATGTCTTGGTTTGGAGTTTGGAATTGGTTTTTTGGTGCTCTTGTTGTTTAGTTTCATGAAACAAAGTGTTGCAAACACCAGGAGCTCGAGGCGCTGACCGATCCAATGAGGAAGGAAGTGGCACAGTTTCGTAAGAAGGTCGACGCCGTAAACAAGGAATTGAAGCCTCTGGGACATATCTGTCAAAAGAAGGTAAGATATGGGGGAAGGAATAGCGCATTGCTTAGCATATAAGATGATATTGCATTCTGTGAATCTCAATTATTGAGCTGATGTTTGCATCCTTTGTCATAGGAAAAGGAGTACAGGGAAGCCCTCGAAGCCTTCAACGAAAAGAACAAGGAAAAAGTTCAGCTAATCAACAAACTAATGGAGGTAAATTCCCCTGAATTCCTTTAGTTTTCCACGATTTCGACGCATCAGTTCAGCCACTGTTCGAGGCGACTCGAATGGCCTCCATTAGTTAAAAACTGTGTTTCTTTTCGTGTATTCTCATCTGAGTTTCGGTTGATGGATTGATTTGGTTTTTTGACGAGCAGCTGGTGAGCGAAAGCGAGAGGTTGAGGCTGAAGAAGCTGGAGGAGCTGAGTAAGAACATCGATACGATTCGATAACCGTATCGTTTGAATGATCAGAACGACGGTTGACAAAGTGATAACCCTGTGTTTATTAGGTTTTGGCGTGTGATGTATTTAATCTAAAGAAGAAAAAGGAGCTGTGTTTGTGTATTAGTTGAAATGTTTGGCGTTCCCTTTGTTTGTGTGTAATTTTCATAATTTGTCTTTCTTTATTTATTTTTCCTCTTCAGGAGTTAACTCAAAAAACATTTTAACTCATTTTAGGAAAGGAAATGACTTATCTATCCTTTTGTTTTTGTCTTTGTTTTTTTGTCTTTTGTCTTTTGTTTTTTTTTTTCTCTCTCCTCTAATGGGGAATCTAGATCCATCTAACGGCTATTTCAAGTTGCTTCGTTTAATAATTAATAACAAATTGCATAATTTAATGTTTATATTTTTAAACATTAAATTATCCGAAAGTTGAGAGAGATTGTCGTACATGGTTGGGCCCATAGTTGAACCCATTAGTCTTTTTGGCCCATATCAGTTGACCCGGCCCGTATCCAAACTAACTGGACCATATAAGACCTATACGCTACATAATTTTTTTTTTATTAAAGAAAAATTAATTCTCAAATAAATAAATATGTAATTAGAAAAAAAAAAATTAATCACTTATTTTAAATCAATTAAAACTATTGAAGCAATTTTGTCTTAAGAAAAATATGATGTCAATTAAATAATTATTATTTATGAAATTCAAGTAATTATTTTGGATACATCATTAATTTGTCATGATGTGAATTATTCAATCAAATAATATTTTTAATTATTAAATCAAATATTTATAGAAAAATTAGCATAAATTTCTAGAACTACTTTAATTTATTTTAAACTATATGAAATATAATACAAAAGACAAAGTTACAAGGTGTGTGTGTGGGGACCAAGTGAATATTGGATTCGAACTATTATTATATTTTAATAAATTAAAAAAGCAATATTATTAGTAGATAAAATATAGTGTTAACGACGTTGATGCGACGTCGTATGAGGGCATTTGACTTTTGACTACAGTTGCGGGGTCCACGACATGCTCAGACAGACTTCAGACCGTGGCTCAGAGTCGGGTGCTATTCGATTGAAGTTGCACACGTGGGAGAACGTCCTCTGTTGGCCCAATTTTTATGCTTACGTGGACAAATGCACCAAATCCTTGGTGGACTCATAAACTCACTCACTTTTTATTTTATTATTTTATTTTGTCGTTCGAGGAAAAATGAAATTTTGTTAAGGGTCCCATTTAGATTTTGCTTTTTCGTTACTTATTTTTTAAATTACATTACACAATAAATATTTGTGGGCTCGCCTCAACGGTCTTTTCACTCTCCCACCACTTCAATAGCAAATAATATATACCCTATTTAATTTTTAAAATATAAATAATGGGTTCTCAGTCCTCCGGGATGAAGCCAAAAAAGTTTTGAGAATGCAAGATAAGGTCGAGATGAACAGTTTATCATCACGATAGGTGTCAAGTGGAAGTGCAGTGATGTATGCAGTTGAGGCATCCTAACAGACCGGCAAACTTGAACCTTGTTTCTACATGACCCGATCAATTCAATTAGGCACTCGCCATCTATTTTCATTGTTCAATTCTTTGACAACACGAAAAAATCATTGTTCAACTCTTTGACAACATGAAAAAACCAAAAATAGCTCTGCCCTCCCTTTCTATCTATCGAAGAAATGTGTATTGAGGTTACTTTCCAATCAATATAGGATCTCTTCGATGTCTAATTCTAATACTATTTGTAATAACCCAATCTCGATGTCTAATTCGACATGGAATCTCCCGTTTTTATGTTTAATATGAGTAGTAAGTGAAAATGGAGATCCAAAATGGAAAAAGAAGGGAAATGGTGGGATGGTGGGGGGAAGGGGTGTTTTTTCAGAACCAATCAGTCTCTTTTTCCAAAAGGACAGTTTTGTCCACAATAAAAAAAAAATAAAAAAGAAAAAAGTAAATTGAGGGAAGTTTAAATTAAAGGTGTGAGTAGTGGGATTGGATATGGACTGGACAGCCGGGTAGACTGACCACATCACGCTCCCCTCCTTCCTTTCATTGATTAAACCGTATCGTAATGGGTCCATATACGTGTACATGGACTTTCAGCCGAGAATGTATACGTACTCTTGGACCTAGCCTTCAACTAAGTAAAAGTATATAATATCATAGCATACACGTCTGTACTGGTTAGAAGTATTTCGACCCATGAAACACACAAACATAACAGTATTTGATGTCATTCTCTCGGCATGCCAATCTCTGTCTCACAGTTTGTTTTGGTCTGTTGTATTTCTGTCAACTTCCGGATTCATCTTTCATAGCTTCCAAACCAACTTTATTTGTTCAACTTGGGGTTACTGAAATCCAAGCCCTCAACAAAAGACATGTCTTCGAATCCCCCATTTTAGCTTTCGTCTTCTCTCTGAATGTTCACTTCCCTTTTGCAGGCTCAAAAGAGATATCCATGGCTCAAAAGCACTTACACGAGCTTCTGAAAGAGGATCAACACCCCTTTCTCCTCGCCAATTTCATCGCCGACAGACGTTCTCTTCTCAAACGCCCTTCCCCCAAATCTCTTTTCCAGCTCAACCGCTCAAAACCCATTTCCGATTCCTCTGATTTTTGCCGGAGTGCTTGTTTTTTCTCTTTCACTCACTCCCCTGATCTCACAACCTCTTCGCCGCTCTTTGAATTTCACTCTCCGGTCAAAACTCCTTGTCGAAACCACAATGGCATTTTCCTTCATGTTCCGGCTACGACGGCCGGCCTTCTTTTGGAAGCTGCTTTGAGAATTCAGAAACAGTCAACGGCCGCGAAATCCAAGTCCCTTGGCAAATCAAATGCCTTAGGGTTTTTGGGTTCTTTTCTTAAGCGTTTGACTCATCGTGGCCGTATTCGGAAGCGAGAGATCTGCAGCGACGGCCGGAAAAACGGTTACCGTGGCAGCCCGCCGTTGCCGACGAACGAGAACGAGAACGACTCTGTTTCTCGGCAGAGTAATTTATGCAATAGCCCTTTTCGATTTGTGCTTCAATCGAGCCCCTCCCCTGGTCACCGGACGCCGGAGTTCTCTTCGCCGACGTCTTCTCCGGCTCGCCGGAACCATCAGGTCTTACTTATTTCATTACTGTTTTCGTTTCATCTTTCAATGTCATGGCATAAAAATTGCATTTTTATGAACCGGGGTTCACCAGCAAACGACCAACTGTCGGCAGTGTTATGTGAATTCTCTGAAATTACCGCCGGAATGTTGCAGTCTCCGGCGTTAAAACACGTCAACCCCATAAAAAGCACTGAATTTTGACGAACAAACTGATAATTCGTTCATTTTCAATTCCATACACACTTTGGTTTACTAAAACCAACTAAATTAAAGACCCTTTTCACAAGCATTTTTGTTTCTCAGTTTGTGAATCTTTCTTTGCCCTGTTTTTACCCAAATTACAGGTCAAAGATGCAGAAAGCTTGAAGAAATTGGCAGTTGAGGATGAGGAGGAAGAGAAAGAACAGAGCAGTCCCGTGTCCGTTTTGGATCCTCCGTTCGAGGAGTACGATGAAGGACATTATGAGGATGATTACAATTTGGATCGCAGCTACGCCATTGTACAAAGTATGTAAGCATGATTCAACCAAACTGCTAATCTGGATGTAAATTTGGGCCTGTTTTTTATCTGCTCAATATTTATCCTGTTTTATTCAGAGGCGAAGCATCAGTTACTGAAAAAACTTCGAAGATTTGAGAGACTGGCAGAACTTGACGTAGTAGAACTCGAGACGTTTCTACTAAAGGACGAGGACGAAGACGAAGACGAACTCGATGATGACGCTGACATTGCTCATCTCGACGACGACGAAAGCCATGACATCATAGAACACAACAATGGGAGCTCAAGGTTCCAAATTCCTCCGAAGCGACTCATCTACAATCTCGTTACAAAGGAGGAGAGAGACGTGGTCGTGATCGAGAAGAGAGTGTTGGTGAGATCGGAGTTGTGGAAAGGGGTGGACACGAACGCTATCGACATGATAACGAGGCAAGATTTGAAGGGAGAGGTTGATGGGTGGAGCAGAAATGGGGAGCAGAGAGGAGAAATAGCCATAGACGTAGAGCTTGCTATCTTCAGCTTGCTGGTGGAGGAAATGCAAACTGAGCTACATTGCTTAGCTCATTAACACTGCAATTGAGTGAGTGAGTAAATTAGTTTTAGGAATATAAAATCTGACTTTAAGAGCATAGGTTTAACATTTGTTTAGTAGAAAGATTAGGACGAAAGGGAGAACACTATGATTCGTAAATTCGTTATCCCTCCATATATTATTATGGTGAATTTGACTCGTGGATCACTAAGTCTTGAGTTGTAATAGCCCAACCCCATATCGCTAGAAGATATTGTTCTCTTTAAGATTTCCCTCTACGTTTTAAAACGTGTATGATAGGGAGAAGTTTCCACACCATTATAAATAATGCTTTATTCCTCTTTTCAACCACCCCTTTGAGTCTAACATTCTTGCTGGCACTCATTCTTCTCTCCGATCGAGAGGGTGGACACTAGACGATGTGTCAGGGAGGATGTTGGACCTCGAAGGGGTGAATTATGAGATCCCACATCCATCTCACCATCGGTCCAACAGACTCCACAGTTTGGGCCAATCTCTCTAAAGCGAGTCATTAGCTGGGCGACACTATATATATATATATATATATTTATTTATTTATTTATTTTGTATGAGATGTGGTCAAGTTCACACATAATTCATTGAAGAAATAATGATAAATTTGATATATTTATGAATTTTGAAATAAATATTTGCGTATGAGAAATGTAAAAGGTATTCTCCGAAAGACCGAGATGCCCCCGTTAGCATCCCCATTTGGGCCGCCGGTTCACGTCGGATACCGCTCTACCAAACTTTTTTACCCCCACCCCTAAATTTTATTGACTCTAATAATCAATATAAAAAATCATAAATTTAACATTTTCATTAATATTTTGTGTCCCTAATCCTAGATCTTTCAGAATTATGATTTTGGCCCTACATTTTTCATTTTATCAATTTACATATTTTTTAATATATCTTTATTTTAAATTATTGGAAACGTATATATTTTGGTCTTCAAACGTATATATTTTGGTCTTCAATGTGTACTCACCTTTTTAACTACATCCCATGTGTTTTAAAAGCTTCAATTTTATATTTAAAAATTGCATTCAATCCTAACAACTTTGAAGTTCAATAACTCGATCG